CCCCAAAACCCCAAAACCCCTTCTGTAAGGATTTGTGTTAAATTGAGAAAAGTATTTATTAAATCTTCACTCTTTATTAAATGAACAAATTAATAAGGATTATTAAATTAAGAAGATTAATGATGTCTACCTTTAATAAAATTGGCTAATTAAACTTAAGATTTCTAAAGGAAACTTAACTGCTATTTCTCATAGTATTAATTCAATATTTGAATCTATAATCATTGGGTTTTCATGATGATATTTGCTTGTAACATGCTTTCCCAATATATCTAGGGGGTCTAAAAGATAAGATATGAAGAATTGAATTATGTTAAGAAAATTTAATGATTAAACTCTTATTCTATCAATGAGCATTGATGACTAAACTTAATAAATAGTAATAGCAGGAATTAACTATGACTGTGGAGTTGCAAAATGCAACTCTTAAACGGGTTATCCATTCGTTGCATTTATTGAAGAGGGAAATGTTTATAGGTGGGCATATGTCTTTCCATATGATTCAGTTAAGTTTGATAAAGTCATTTTTTCAAAAGATAAAGCTAATGTAGTAGCAATAAGTAGGTAGAAACCTCATACAATAATTACACTCAATGTAGCTGATGGAAGTGTATAATCCATTATATAATCCTCCCTAGACTACGGAATTGTTAATTTTATATAAGATATCTATTATGGAAAATTCACTAATGGAATAGATTATTTTGGGATTGCTATTCAAAGACTTGATGATTTCTTTATGTTGACTATATTAAATTAGAACTCTTGGAGTTATATTAATGTGATATCATTATAGCCAGGTTAAGCTCGACTGCTTGCCTAAAGTAGCAATGCTAAAAGCTTTTATGTGGTTGGATACCTATATGATGTTGCAAGAAAATAAACTCAATCTTCAATTTTAATTATTTCTCCAGACGGTGTACTTTATAGGAATTTTAACATTTTTAGATCAGTATCAACAAAAAATCTGGCAATGATTACTCATATTTATGTAACTTAAAAGAAATAGTTATTTATTGATTCAATATATGGAATAATATGTTATCATTGTTAAACTTAATACACAGCTAATATAATCTTTCAAATTGAAGTTAACTTTGGAGATCTCTATGAAGTAATATCAGAATCATCAATTTTTTAATCAATAGAAATTTAGAATATAAAGGAGATTGTATAAATTCAAGGTTCAGGGGATACAATTTATATTACTTTAATCTTGGATGATAATATATGTTATCATCTCAACATAGATATATAGACAGGATAAGGCACATAAATGAGTTTTTAAATATCTCAGTAGAGTAAATCCTTTATTACCTCAGCTGGAATTTCTTCTAAATATGGTGTGATAATTGCAGGTTATACAAGTTCAAGCGATCAAGGTCAAGACTTAAACTTTTAAACAAATGTTAGTTTCATCACCAATTCGGAAGGAAAATATAGATGTAGAGGAAATACTGAGAAAAGCATTTAAAAATTGTTGTCTTATTCTATGTTTTTTGAAGTTTAAGAAGTAGATTTTAACAGTGCAATTCTCTCTCCAATTGTTTTTAATTCTCTTACACCTTCTCCGCTAATAAAAATGACAACTACACTAATTAAAACGAGCTGTAGTGGTTTGAATTATTACGAAATGTCTCCTATATTAAATAAAACAGTGTATTGTCTTATAGGATTAGAATAACTATTTAGATTTACCAATTTTTCAAGTAATTGCGAAGAAACTATAGTAGATACAACTGTTACTATTGAAATTAGCTAAAATATCAAAGGTTTGGCTGAAGCTGTAATATTAACAGTTGATTATAGTAATTTAAACTTTAAAATTTTGCTAAGTGATAGATAATATTCAGGCTAAAAGCTCATAGTATAAATTAAAGGGATAATTTATCAATCTCAGCAAAGCTAATTCTATTTTTACGAAATTAATCTATAGTAAGATTAGTGCGAGTTGATAACAATAGATGGCCACGCATTTTAAGATGTGAATTACTATTTTTAGAGTGGAGATGGTTTTATTTTGTAGAACTTGGACTGGAAAAAATTACCAGCAGATGCGAATTGCAACTTCACCTATGATTTTATTGTTCAAAAATTACCAATAGATCCTTCAATTTAAATCAAAACCGATTTCAATTATGTTAAAATATTGGGGAATACTCTTACTTCCTATCAAATACCAGAATAAGTTCAAAGCTATCAAATTACTGTTAATGCATAAATCTATTATTTTACTTTATAAAAAAATGTAGTGAAATTTCAACAGAATTTCACACTAAATGTTAAAGATCGTTGTCTGGAAAATTAATGTGTACTTCCAGATAATTTTCAAAATTCTTATTCAATTAAGCTATTTGAGCTTAGATAGATAAGTAATAATTGGAAATTAAAGTATGAACAATGTAAAATACTGCCTCATATATCATGCAATTACTAAATTGGTAACATTGAATTTTATCAATACAATAAACAAACCAAATAAATTATAATATCACCTGCAAGTATGAATCATATTGGATTGTGGAGGTTCAAAATATCCTGCTCTACTTCTTATGATGGCATTGATTTACGATAGATGACGTAAGAAATATAGATTGAGGTGGTGCCACAAAAATTCTAGTATTTCATTGATGAAAATTAGTTCTAATATGCTATGTATTTTAGCCTTGATTAAGAGATTGTTGTTTATACGACCTAGATATTTTAGCAGAATATTTTTATATCTTAGTCTTAGAGGAACTAGTTTTATAATAATTACACAAAGAGTGTACAGATTGGAAAATCTCTTAGATTCTTGAGTTTAACCAATGATTAATTAATTATTAAGCCTGAAAAATAAGATATAGGGTTATATAAAATTAAATTAAGAGTTAAGGATTCACAATAATTAGGTTCTATTTACTAGTTTGCTATCATTGTTAAAGTACTTGACATAGATTAAATATTCAAAGGTACAGAGAATTAAAAATTAGATAAAACAACACTAAACTAAAATGGGTATATAAAGGAAGATAGCTTTTTTACTTTACTTAAAAATTTAAATACAAGTAAATCAATAAAAGTATAACTTATCAGGATTACCAATAATGGTCTTATTACTCTCTTATTCAATGACAATCTTCTCATGCCTAGAAATTAGACTATAATTGAAGTTTAAAAAGCTTTAAAATTCAGAGTTCGAAATGGGAGAGATGGTCTTGTCAATGAGAAGGTTCAAAACGTTACAAGATTTTAAATAGTTTCTATTCTTAGCAAAATGATCTAAATTCAATTAGAGTTTTCCAATCCTTAAGCTATATCTTAGTCATCAGTAAGAGTCTGCTTTATTTTAAAATATTTTAGACTTCTGATACCCTCGAAATAACATTCTTGAGAAACTATTTCTTTGTGAATTAAAAATTAAATGCAATGGTCTAAAAGGATTAAATGTTATCTAGAAAGCTTACTCCCTAAATCTATAGTTCTAGTATTAATTATCAATTTAAGTATTATAGCTGCAATGATAATGCTTGGAAATGCTGCTAGAGGAGCATCTGATACGTTGATTGCTGCTTTGTTTGTGAATTTTTTTCTGCTGATATTTATGAAGTTCTCCATGAAGCTGCTTTGGAGGATGATGGCTATTTTATAGTTGATTGTTAATTTGCCTATCTTTGGAGTTAATCTTCCTTCGAATATTATCTAATGCACTGAGGCTTTGATTAATATTTCAACTTTACAAATTATTGATAAGGAGCAGATAAAATCTTGGTTTTTCTCTTTTATCAGCGACTCTAATGAAAACATAAATTCTAGATTTGATGGGATGGATATCTTTTATATTTAGATAACTCTTATTGGAGATCAGATAATGATCTCAATTAACTTGCCTAAATTTAGGTCATTCGAGTATAATGGTTAATATGGGGTTTATTTTAATTGCACTAATAGGATTAACAATATTTTCATTGGTACTTATAGCCATTCCTTATTTATTCTAAAAATTCACGTTGTAATTTATAAACTATTGATAATTTAGCATTCGCAAGGTAGTGGAATTGGTTTAGAGAAAGATATTTTTCAGTATGTTTATCAGGCCAGTAATGCAAGGATATCTGGTATTTACAATGACAGTAGCAATAAGTCTTGCATTGGTAAAATTCATTTCATTTATTTATCAGATATATGATTGAGAAGTTATTAGTGCTTTTGAGGTTATAATTTCAATATTGATAGCAATAATTGTAATCTCCATCCCAGCTATAGCATCCATTTTTTTATTTCAAAACTAAACATTGATCTCTAAATAACCCTTTAAAGATAAATTTGGAGCATTGTATCTTGGTATTAGCACTTAAAATAAATATCTTATTTTTAGTGTGTTTCTTTATTTTTTGAGGAGATTGATATTCGGATTCTCAGGAATTTTAATGACAGATTACCCCTTGTTTTAAATTTAAATGATTTTGATTATGAGTATTTTGCACATCTGTCTTCATATTTAATTTATGCATTTGGACTCAGCTATTGGAAACTTATTCGAGATACACAATGAGTTATGCTTACTTTTAATTAATATTCTTATTTTTCCGCTCTGCGATCTAGTCGATGATATAGATACTAGATATGAGATTGGCTGGGTTGTTGTATTCTTGATAATATGGATAGTGATTATTAATATTAGTTCATTATTCGTTTTAATGGCCTATGCTATCTTGAACTATGTGAAACTTAAATGCCAGAGTCTTTAATAAAAAAGACAATAGTAATATCGAGAATTTCTACATAAAAAATTAACAAACTATGATTAAACATTCATAACTGAAGCTGATTCTGAACTTGATTAATCTTAAATGCAGAATGAAAAATAAAATCAGAAACATAAAGAAATTAGTAAAGTAGCAAATTAAAAAAGAAATCTTTTGAAGTCTAGAAACTTAAATTTGAATTCTTTGGAAGTATTTTAATATTAAAAGAATCGAGTCGAAAAAGAAGTCAAAATAAATCTAAAAACTAATCAATTAGATAACAAAAAGATAATAAAATCAAAACCTAGAAATAAGCCTTTGACTATTGATAAATAATAAATTATGAAAGAAGAGCATCTTGAAAGCATTCTTAAAGAAATCCAGCATCTAGAAAAGGAATAAATTGAAGAAGATATAGGAGCTTATAATATCGATAAAACTAGAAATAGTGCAAATGATAATCAGTAAGAGTCTAAATAAATTCAAATTTTTACTTAAAATGTTAAGAAGATCTCTAAAAATTTAGCTGCATTTAACTAAAGCAACCAATATTAAAATTAAAACAAAATTCTTTCTGGATTAAAACTAAAACTTAAAAGTTATCAAAATTGATATGAATTTACCATAGAATTAATTATTTTTGAATTCATTTATTCATTTCTTTCAAGATTTATAATCAATATTTATACTTGGGGTTTTGGGGTTTTGGGGTTTTGGGG